GGTAGTCGTCGTGGTAGTGGTCGTGGTAGCATAGTAGTAGAGAGTAGTAGTAGTAGTAGTAGTAGTAGTAGTAGTAGTAGCAGTAGTAGTAGTAGTAGTAGTAGTAGTAGTAGTAGTAGTAGTAGAGAGTATCGCGCAGCCTCACATTTTGATTTCGAGTGGTTGTGGCGTGCTGGAGGGAGCTGTGGGCTCTGGGATTTAAGGAGTAGGTCCGAGTAGGTTTGTGCTTTCGTAAAAGGTGCATGGATGAGCGTTGGAGGCTTGACACCGCAGCTTTGCTATTGTTTCCTTTTTACTACCAGAATGTTCACTGCTTTTGTGACGATGATGCTGATAGTGCGTTGTCGAACTGTTGTTTTTCTGAGTACGGTATGGGTGTCGAACTTCACATTAAGCGTGCAGATCTTGCGCAATGCTGTGGGTTTGCTGTTTAGGCTTTGCCTCGTTCTTTCGCTTTGGGAGCTTCAAAGCGAGTTCACATGATTTCGTTCTCAGTCAGGGTGCATTTTCGGGCACTTCGGCTGCCTCAGCCTGGCCAAAATAAAGATCGCAGAAGGATAAACCCGCAGAAGGGGGCTGCAGAAGGCCGAGGATCGTTGCCAGTTGGATGTTCCAAGATCCACGCGAAAGCCCGGAAGTCGACCAAAGTTCGAAGCTTCATAGGGTTTAGGGACCCTTTGGGCTTTTCGTTATTTAGGGTTGAGTGTTTAAGGGTTTAGGTTTTAGAGCTCAGGGGGAAGGGTTTAGGGTTTAGGGATCCTACACCCTGTATCCAGAAGTTTCCGTGCCTGGCTCTCAGACGTAGACGTAGAGTGTGAAATCTAGCGGATCCGGCTTCTAGCCATGCGTCGTCTGCTCCATGTCCTACTCTTCCCAGTGGCCGCGAACGCAGTTAGGACGGTCGAGACGAAGGCCTGGGGTGTCTGCTGTTGCTTCCTACCTCACACCGGCGAGTTCACGGAGTTTCTACCAAGCTCTGAAGATAGCCACTACTGGCACTTCCGAGAAAAGCAAGGCATGCCAGGACCTGAAGATTCATGCCCCAAGCAGCCTGACGGGCGGAAGTCTTTGGCGCCGCGCGGGTGTCGAGGTAGCCAGCTTTCCACCCAACCGAAGTCCGTGCAATCTTTGAAAGTTTATGGCAAGGCCAAGGGCGACTTGCCAACCGAGTGCGCACCCCTGATGCCACATCCCGACGATATGTATTGTGAGAACTACCTAGTGCGCGAATGCGGCAGCCTCACGATCAACATCCCCGATAAGTGGAGGAATTGCTACCGAAGTACCAGCGACTACGGCCACAACCAGATCGATCCGTCTTGCCCGCAATGCAGACATGATAGGTTCAAGGAAGGATGCAAAGATCATCTTTGACTTGCTTCTGCCGCTGAAGGCGAAGGTATTGTCGAGCAATGACAACTGAAGCCGCGGTCACAAACAGTCAGAAATTTCCGAAACCACGAAGCCCTCAACCGTAAGCACCTAGGCACAAAGCCCTCAATCCCTCAAACGTGCTGAAACCTGTGCATGCCATTAAAGGTTCTTCAGGGGAAGTTTTGGCTCTAAGCCCTAAACCCCCAAGCCCCTAATCCGCATTCTACAGGGTGGCAACTGGGGGTTTAGGGTTCAGAAATAGTTTATGTCGGGATGGTGGTCAAGCGGTTTGGGGTTTAGGGTTTAGGGATTGTAAGCCTGTTGAAACCTTAAAGCTGTGTGTCGGTTGGAGACGGAGTTCTGCAAAAGACAACCACACAGTAGGCTTCATGTACGAAATCCCTTTAGCCTTTAACCTCAATCTCTAAACCACGACAGCCCAAACCGGAAAACCCCACAAACATCCCGACATCCAAAGCGTGAGCGTGCTTGTTTTTTTGGCGGCTCTAGAGCCCTGAAATGCCGTGGATAGCTCTCGTTCATGAAGCATGCAAGCCTCCAGCCCTGGGCGTGCTTATAGAGTCCCCAACTCTAAACCCCTAAGCCAACATAAACACCAAAACTTTAGAGTTTAGGGTTCAGGGGTTTAGGGTCCTAAGCCCTAAACCTTAAACCCTAAACCCCAAACCCCAAACCCTAAACCCTAAACCCTAAACCCTTAGTGTCTAGGGGCCCTAAACAACTCGAAACCGCTGAATCAGAGCTTGCCGGAGAAGCGCAGGTGCCGTTGCCACGGTGCTTGTCGACGGCTCCGTGAAGATGCGCGGGCTGCCGGATCCATTTGGGGAGGGCTGAGGGTTAAGATTCAGGGTAAACTATAGGTTGTATGAATAGAAACCATAAAGTAAAATATGGTAGAAGTAACGAGAGTTATCCGAATGGTAAAGTAGTAATCGTAGTTAATAGTAAGAATAAGAAGACGAATAAGAATAATCGTAATAGTAATACTAATAGAAATGGAAGCATCCCATTGGACCGAAGATCGAGTAGATGTGGGTTTGGCGATGAGGCCTCTTGGCCTCAGACATGACCGTTAGGGCTGCATACATGGGGCTTGCTTGTAGCATCTCAGCCTTAAGAGACATGACCCGACACCACTTGACCTTCAACCGTCTTTGAAGGATCATGGGACTTAGTGTTAAGGGTTTAGGGTTTAGTTGGTTATAGGTACTACAAGCGCCTTTGGTAGGGGTTCTACACTCGCAACCCTTTTAGATCCCCAAACTAGTACGTCACCCTTCGAAAAAGGATCCTAATTCAGAGAACCCCTAAACCCTAAACCCTAAACCCCAAACCCTAAACCCTAAACCCTAAACCCTAACGCCTAAACCCTAAACCCTAAACCCTAAACCCTAACGCCTAAACCCCACTTACTGGGTGATTCCGCGAGGACTACGGAGGCGATGGGAGCCTGGTTCGAGACAAGCTGCCGCTTGTCTGACCCCGGGGGGCTTAAAAAAAGTAAAATAGGGTTCAGGGTTTAGGGGTTTAGGGTTTAGGGTTGAGGGGTTTCGGGTTTAGGGTTTAGGGGTTAAGGTTGAGGGGTTTAGGGTTTAGGGTTCAGGGGTTTAGGGTTTAGGGTTTAGGGTTTAGGGTTTAGGGTTTAGGGTTTAGGGTTTAGGGGTTTAGGGTTTAATATTACAGGATTGTGGGGTTCCTTATTATAACTTTAGTATATTGTACCCCAAAACTTTATTCTAAGTTTAGCTAAACATTCATGGGATGCACGAGGCATCTGACGAATCGCTCGCCTCAGACTTCTGTCCGTCATCACCCCAGGACCTTATTCTAATGATTAAGGCCCCTAGAATAGGGCTTTGGAGAGGCATCTTAAGGATTTCTTATGGGGCTTATATATAGGGGGCCTTCTCATCACGAAGGGGGTTCCTGGAGATATTTTTAAATTCTAGAAGCCTAAACCCTAAGCCCTAAGCCCTAAACCCTAAGCCCTAAACCCTAAGCCCTAAGCCCTAAACCCTAAACCCTAAGCCCTAAACCCTGAACCCCTGTTTCTCTGCTCTCCCATACCCAAAAACTTCTGGGGGGTCTCCTTTGCTTGATCGTCTTGGGTTACACGTTTAGGGTTTAGAATATAGGGTTTACGGTTTAGGGTATAGGGTTTAGGCTGTAGGGTATAGGGTTTAGGGTATAGGGTTTAGGGTATAGGGTTTAGGAAGTAGGTTTGAGAGGTTCTACGATGACATTCATTCATAGTTACCATGAATGAAGGTCTAAGTAGCATCCCAAGCACCAAACCCTCAACCCTCCTTCCTTGATTTTGCTTCCGCTACTGACATGAACAAACGAAGCCTGCAAGAATCCTGGCCCTGTATAGGCCCTGAACCCTGACCTTATAGGTTTTACAACCTTTTAGGTTTTTGGGTTCAGGGTTTAGTCTTTGGGGTTAAGGGTTTGGGATTTAGGGTTTAGGGTTTGGGAAAGAGGCTCAAAGCGGCCCAGGAAGAACGTCCAACACATCCGGGCCACTGCCGGGGCTTTCGCTGCCATCTGTGCCGATGGCACCCTGAAGTGCAGCGAGGTTTATGTTTCTCTGTACCATGGTCCCTTTGAGGGTTCTTTCGGAGCTCAGCAGTGGTTCAAACGTAAGGTTTTATGGTTTGGGGTTCTGGGGTTGGTTTCCTCAGTGCTTGTTTCCTAAGTTGCCTCTCGAGCACAAGTCTTAAGTCTCGTGGACACAAACAGAAGTCCCTCACGGAGCCCAGATTTGCTTGCGGTTTGCAGGATCACCCTAAACCCTAAACCCTAAACTCTATAAGCCCTAAGCCCTAGGCCCTAACCCCTAAACCCTAAACCCTAAACTCTAATTAACGCTCGAATGGAAAATCCCTTAAAGAGAAAAGCCGGAATCCCTTCAAACCCCAAGGCCTCAGCCCCGAAGACGATTGCTATGAGACTTCAAAACTCGAACCCGGAAGCCCCTGAACCCTAAACCCTAAACCCTAAATCCTAAACCCTAAACCCCTAAATCCTAAACCCCTAAACCCTAAACCCTAAGTTTAGCGCGCAGGGTTCAGAGTCTAGGGTTTGGTGGTCAGGATCTCGAATCTGGGGTTCGGGCTTTCAGCTGCTGGTTTTTTGATGGTTTGGGGTTTGGGGTCGGTGGCTTCGCTTAAGACCTCAGGTGTTCTGCCCTAAGCCCTAATACCTTAGACCCTCATCCCCTAAACCCCTAAACCCTCATACCCTAATCCCTCATTCCCCAAAGCCCTAAACTACCCAATTAGTATAGGGTTCTTTCGGGGTCCTTAGTGTCACTATCGTGTAGTATACACCAAAAACCCACCCGAACTTTCAAGGACCCTTTCTTAGCCACGGAGCCCCAAAACCTCAACGCGCCAGGCACCGTGGTCGCTTGGGGCAGTCCGGCTCACGGCGGTGATTGCAGCGCTGTGGAAGGGCGACTGCACGAGGTGTCCGGGGCTCTAGGCTCCCTAAAGCCTGAACCCTAAACCCTAAACCCTGAAACCTGAACCCTGAACATTGGACCCTGAAACCTAAACCCTAAACCCTGAACCCTGAACCCCCCTGAACATTGGACCCTGAACCCTAAACCTTGAACCCTGAACCCTGGACCTTTTTCAGGGTTTAGGAACCCTGAATCATACCCCCTTCCGTCTCCGAAACTCCGAACCCCAGCCCTGAACTCAGACCCTTCATTCCTTCACCCCAAACCCTCCAGGTTTAGGGTTTAGGGGTTTAGGGGTTTAGGGTTTACGGATTATACCCAAAACTTTAAACCCTAAATGTTTGAGGTATCGTGTCCCTGCGGTTTTGGGGGCACCCAAAGCCTCAAAAGCTTAAGCCCTAAAGCCCTAAGCCCCCAAGGGGTTTAGGGTTTAGGGTTTAGGGTCCTAACCACAACTGCCGAAACCTTTATAAAGCCACCACAGACAGGCTTTGCAAACAACGCAACCACAAAATGCTCTGAAAGCTCCCTTGAGCGAACCCCAGCAAATACCCATCCTTCTTCAGGCCCTAAACCCTAAACCCTAAATCCGAAACCCTTAACCCTAAACTCTAAACCCTAAACCCTAAACCCTGAACCTATGGAACCCTATACAACCTTTACAGAAAGGCTCATGGCACCCGTAGAGGAACCCCTCCTTGTGAGAGCTCAGAAAGGACTCGCAGCTCCCCCGGCCAGGCGAGGTTCCGATTTTTTGTTGCTTTTGTGTAAGAAGCAAAGGTAGTAAGTCACAGGGTTTAGGAATTTTAGGGTTTAGGGTTTAGGGTTTAATAAGTCATAGGGTTTTAGGGTTATCTAGTACTGATAAGAATAACAAGAAGCAGTAGTAATACTCATAAGAGTGCTAGCGAGAAGAACCGTAATACTGGTGCTCTGTGTGTGTGTGTGCGCGTGTGTTTTTATCTGTTTCTCAATGGATTTCATCATCTGGTGTCCGAGACCCTAAGCCCTAAACCCTTAGGGGCGTAGGGATTATAGGGTTTTCGAGTGTAGCGCTTTGGGGTTCAGGGTTCTGGGTGAAGGCTTCGGATTTTTTGCTTTGAGCGTGTGGCAATGCTTTGGGGTTCTTACCTTAAGGGTAACCCTAACACCCCAGGTACCTACTATATAGGGTACTAGAGCCCCCTAGGACCCTATATAGTAGGTACCTGGAGGTTTAGGGTAAAGAGGATTTGGTTGCAGTGTCTGCGTATTTGTGCCACGCAGCGTCTCGCCGCGGAGTCCAAAGCGTGTCCGCCTCCCGAAGTCGTGTGCGACCCGTGTTTTTTGTCGCCGCAGTTCCTACTCATGGGTGGTTCTCTAAATTAGGGTCCTTTTTATAGGGTCCTTTTTCAGGGGACCCTAATTTAGAGAACTACCCACATGTTGCGGTGCGTGTTCTGGTTTGCTAGTTGTGCTCCCGCCGTGGTGTAGTGCGCTGTTTAGACTCCCAAAACCCTAAACTCTAAACCCTCAGCCCTAAACCCTAAACCCTAACTGTGAACCCTGAACCTTAAACCCTCAGCCCCATAAACCCTATATAAACCCTAAACCCTCAGGCATAAACCCGAAACCCTCAGCCCTAAACCCTAAACCCCCAGCCCTAAACCCTAAACCCTCAGCCCTAAACCCTCAGCCCTGAACCCTTAACCCAAAACCCTCAGCTCTAAACTCTAAACCCTCAGCCCTAAACCCTAAACCCTAACTGTGAACCCTAAGCCTTAAACCCTAAACCCTATAAACCCTAAACCCTAAACCCTCAGCCCTAAACCCGAAACCCTAAACCCTCAGCTCTAAACTCTAAACCCTCAGCCCTAAACCCTAAACCCCAACTGTGAACCCTAAACCTTAAACCCTCAGCCCTATAAACCCTAAACCCGAAACCCTCAGCCCTAAACCCTAAACCCTCAGCCCTATGAACCCTAAA